TTTTCAGCCCGATCGTCACGCGTAACGTGAACACGTGTTCGGTACAAACATTTTTTCGCTACACACTTGTGAACACACGAGAGTGCAACGCGCGTGATGTCTATGTACACAATAATAATGTGTATAATAAGTGTAACGAACTCAACTCCATTGGTATCCTGTTTGGTTGATATATACATACATGTGTACCTTTTTTTCTCACATTACTTTTACAATTATTATTTCACTATTTCTTTTTTTTTAATTAACTTAAATAATATATTTAATTACTCTCAAGCGGTGCTTTGATTTTTTTTCTCTGTTATTAAATCTATTCGCTTGATAATTTTTTACAATTAATAATTTTTTTTTTTTTCTAAGTAAAAGAAATTATTTTACCGGAAATAAAATTTTATTTAAAGATTATTTTTTAATATCATTTTATTTTTGTTAAAAATTTATAAATTCTTAAAGCACAAAAAAAATTTTTTACACGAAAAAAAATTAATTTAACTTAAAATAATTATTGTTTTTATCAAAATAATTTTTTTCTTTGCTCAAAAATTGATTTAAGTTGAAAAGAATATTTCTAAAATATATTTATAAATGAATGACGGAAAATTATAAAATTATACAACAAAAGCCTGGAAATTGAATAAAAAAATGAATACTATATTGAATATTTTGATTTGAAAGCACGTAGCACTATAATACACAATGCAAATAAGAATGTATATTGAACGGGATATCGGTATTAAGTTCCGAGGTTAATTTAATTTCGCAACGAGAAATATAATCTACATATACACAAATAAGTAGCAACAATATTACGAAAATAGTTTCCGCAAGAGTTTGATACCCCAGAAAAAGTAATAACAAAAAAGAAAAGACAGTTTATTTATTAACCACACGGTTTATTACTTTTTATAATAATTATCAGCTATAAAATTATACTACGCGTAATTTTACCCGAAGAAATTCCATAATTCAACTCCGCTCGGTAAGTTATTGCTAAATTAGCATATAAATTCCGATAAATAATAATGTTTATATTTATATTGCCCAACAAAACACTAAACGTAGCGCTGAATAATTTAATACGTCGAATTTGAAATGTTGAATAAAGGAAAATAATATAATAGCATTGTTTTGTTATAACTTGGTATAGTTTAAATATAGTCAACAAATAATGAAAACTGACGCTAAGAGAGTAATGAGTTATGGGATGGTGATGTAAGAAGCCGTAAAATAAATCTTGACAGCTGTTGTAGTGAGCAGTCTAGGATAAATACGTCTCTGGTGATGTCTTTCGTCCTCAAATAGTTACTCTTAATGTTATTAATAAAATACAGGTGAAAATTTATTTTAGAAAGTTTTTTATCGATAATTTTCATTTATTGAGACTTTTATTTAGCTGCAATAAATAAAACAATTAATATTGATCAATAATAAAATTAAATTTGTAAATTAAATTTAAAAAAAATTGGCTGATTAAATTCAATATAAGATTATTTTTTTCAAAATTATTCAAATGATTGATAAAAAATAAAATTAAAAATTCGCGGTCAAAATTTAAAACTCAAATCTCCCGGACAGAAAATAAAATGAAGAGCAATAAATCCCGATCGTTATAAGTAAGTCGTTGTAGGACATAATAAAAATTGCCGACAAAAATTTAAAATATAAACTCTGCAGAATAAGAAGGTATATAATATATCTGAATATATAAATGAAATGAAATACTTAAAGTATGGGTGCGTAGTAGATGGGCGGATTTTGGTCACAGAGTCATTGTACATGACGGATGTCTTTGACGGATCGGTCATAAACCTTGGGGTCTTATTTTCTCCGAACTGGGGAAAGCGAATTCATATTTTTATTTGTATTTTGCTGTTGCAGGCTCAATGAGATTTTGAGGAATAAAATGAATGTATAGATGTATATTAAAAGAAGCACAGTACAGTATACAGGGACCTTAGACTGTCGTGTTAAATTCTGGCGGGTCGCTGTGGACCCAAAGAAGGCCCACCCGCTGACTGCGGGCCTTAAATCGGGATTATATCAGGATTACGGATACACTACACACCAGATTGGTCTCCGAGCCTCCTCCAGACTCACCAATACTTGTGTGAACATCTTTCAATCAGATAAAGCATACTGCAAGCTCGTTTCACTTCCTAATACAACCATTAACCAAGTCCAAATACTTAACACCAAAATGAGGAAGCTCTGGACTGTCAGTGCCTCCATCTCTCTCCAATTTGGTGTCATTATTTTCTCCTTTGTCCAGCTCTCACCTCACATTATTGAGCCCCTAGCGGCGTTTTTGTACGATTGTTTCTCAAATCTCCGGTCTTTTAAGGATTTAAAACGCACAAAAGTGTAATTTAGACGAATTTTAAAGTTTGTCAGCTCGAATTTCCTTTTTAAAAAAATTAGTGCACAGAGTATGATAAATTCGCACACGTACAACAAGCCAAACAGAGAGAGAAATGTTGTTTATCAAGAAAAGCATTTAAACTCAGTGACGTTTGCACATTTTAGACAACCTGACGCCTTGTTACACCCTCGCGATCATTCGTTACACATCACTGACGTAATTGTCGAATTCTTGGTTCGGTTTAATATATAACTCCACTTGTATGTATACATTTCTGGCATACAAATGCTTGCCTCCATATATCAAAGGCTCTAATAATAATTTATTTATATAAATAAATTATTTTGTGTTTGATGTTTTGTTCTACAAGGTACTCCAGTTTGTCTGTTTGATCAATTTTTTTTCACGCATCAATTTATTTTTATTCAATCACTAAACTTAGGACAAAGTGTATTTTTATTAAAATAATTTTTTTTAATAAAAAAATAGTCAATTTAAATTAAATAAAAATTATTTCGATGAAAATAAAGACAAACATTGATATTTTTTTCTCCAAAAGTTAATAAATTAAAATATTTAGAATTAAAAATTATTAAAGTTATTACAACGTCAATTTGTCACTAGCTAGTCAGGTGAATTAAAAAAAAAAAAATAATAAATGATACTTGGACAATTACACGGTATCAAGTAGCGAAGGGTCAGGATAGGAATGAAGGCGCCAGCCAGGTCTTTTCATGCTCGAGCCAACAAGGGAATGTGGATGTAGTGTAGAACATGGGGATGTAGAATCAAGACCGAGGGTATTTTATTCACCCCAAAGAATAGAATCTATAGTATAGCACTTGTTGCTACAAATAATCCTCAACTCCATTGAGAAGATCACTCCGATTACCAATCGCTTATCTGATTCACAGACCCGGATGACGATCAAAACAATAATTACGAATTACGATTAGAGAGCGAATAAAAAAGCGAGGATAAAATCGGCGGGATATGGGTGCGGTTATAATTCCTTGTCTTTTTAAATTTAAAGATTCATCCGTCGACCTGGGTGGGCCTGTGTGATGTGCGTATATACCATATAACTTTATACATCATACATACTCAAATGATATGTTTGGATGTGTAGAGCCGAGTATATTCTTCAGTATAATGGAAAAACATGGCGCAGTATGAGTACAAGTGAAGCCGCGACTCCCAACCGCGAAGAGGAGGACAATAAAATCTTCAAATAATATACCGAGTAATAAAGTTAAACACGTGTGTGCGAAATTTAACAGACTGAGAGTCAGAGTTTAGTCGACGGGCATTATATTACGATTATTATATTGCGATTATTGCTCTCGGTGTCTTTGACGGATATTTTAACGACTGAATTGACAACTTTTTCGGTATTGGGTAGATGAAAGGACTCCTCAAATTCAAACGCTCCTTTTATTATTATTATCATCATTATTAATAATTTTATTTCACTAACTTAATAATTTTTTGCCTTAAAATTTCTTTTAAATATTTAAATATTATTATTATTTAAATTGGTATAATTGTTGATTTATTTTATTTTTCGTGTTCTAAATCCTCTTGAACGAGTTTATAATTCGTCTTAACTTGTAAAATGACGCTTACAAGCATCTGTATAATGAAATCACTTTACTAGCGCTTAAAAATATGTGTAAGTGCATGTATTTGCAACAGATCCACTCGAGTGGAGCTTGCCAACAACTACACCGCTTTGATGTGACACAAATAGCCAATTATCTCGCGGTTTTAATCACTAAATCCAATGAAACAGTTAAAAAATTAGCATTTTTGAGGAAAATAAAACGTGTCACGTGTTAACGGATTGTGTATAGAGAAACGAAGGTGGCGTGTCTCAGCGGGTAGGAAGAGCTTCATACACCAGTATTATACATATATTATACATTGTGTAAGTAAAAGCGGTGGCGGGTCTTGTTGAGCGTGTTCGAGATCGAGAATAAAGTCAGCAAAGGATCCGTGAATGGTATGGGCGTCCTTTAGAGAAGTGTATAGTGGCACGAGTCACGCGGACACTCCTCTATATAATATATCTTCTATACATTAGAAGTTTGTGAGAGTGTGTAAAACCAGTACGCCGGGGACTTTTCAACCAAGTCATCCAACTGAGAAGAAAACTACCTGTGCTGCTGGGTTTAGCTGTCATGTGACGTGTGTGGCACATGTCGTCGCTGCACGCGGGACTTAACTTTTATTTCAAATCCTGACATTTTTGATGACAACTACTTCCTTTTTTATCTTTATTAGATTTTATTTTTTTAACAATTTAATTATTTTATAATTAATTTTTTTATCCATCCAGATTTTTTTTTAGTAAAAATAATTTTGAAAAAATCTTTTTGTTATTTAAAAAAAAAAAAAAAAAAAATAAATTAACATTTTTTTCTAATTTAATCTTTACCATATAAATAAAATTTTTTTTTAATTATTTAAATGATATTTTAAAGAGCTATTGCGGTCTAAAAATATCGAAAAATAATCTCCAAAAAATCGTAGCGTTAAAAAAATAATTTAATTAGAACGCTGACATAATTTTTCCGCCACAAACTTCAAATAAAGCAAATTTTATTATTCTCGAGCCCTGTAAGAGCCAACAAACTTGCAAATGTGTGAAATAAAACTTAAATACGTTGTCTCTGAACGAATCACGAGTGACAGTAAACCGGCGACACGCAATAAATTATCACGAAATTTCCGCGAAATCCTAACGAGAATTATAAAGCAGATTGTAGTGCGGTATTATACTCTTAAAAGTTAGTAACATCTAAAGGCTCCTTTCTGGTACTCTCACCTATAAATTAAATACTTTGTATTCAAGCGAGTTAATATCCATCCCCAGCCCTTTAAAATAAATCCCCGAGATGCAGATCTATTTATAATAACGGTTGCGTCTCGCGATACAGCCGGCAAGGCAGTAAATGTCGTGTGTATTTCATACAGAAGAGCCAACAACTCCACCCTCAACTCCTCGATCCTCGCTGGCAATTCTCGCAATGCCAATTTCACATCACATCTTTTGCTTCACTGATAATACTCAACACACAGTCTACAAAGTTTAAACCTTGGGCCTTGCAACAACCAACAACCTTAAGAGTAACTGTGAGACAGCCGCTCGTCATCATCAACATTTATTTTTATTATTTTACAAATATATTTCATCTCCGACAATAAAAACACCCCGCAATAACCGACAATAAAACATCAATTACTCAAATCCCACCATTATAATTATAATTATAATTATAATTATAATTGTAATATTAAACTCGTTATTTATTGAGACAACCACCAAATTTATTTTTCTCCGTTTCTTTGTTGCAAAAAAAAAAATCAAACAGCTAGACCTTGTATTATTATCATTATATCGAAGGATATAGATCCATCCTATTCGTCTTCGATAGATTTTTTCAGGGTCGTCACGCGAGATTCCGCGAAAAGTCATTTCGCACTCCCCAAACTCAAATTCTTTAGCACTCTCTCTTATATATTAAATATAAATATAAATATAAATATACCGACTTTAAGCTTGTATTATATCCCTGGGTTAATAAAGGCCTCATCCATACAGCCCTACACTAAACTATACCATATTATATTACACTATATACTCCACTTAGTATCTCTAGTGAACCTGATCGTTATTAGATTGGACACTCCTTTCTCCTCAAGCCATCACAATAACCCATAAAATGCAACATTTTGTTTCGTATACCAATTACCCATCGGCCAACTTGCCTCGCCTTCATTCGCCGTCAATTTATCCACGCTTCCACACACGACCGGCTCGATCGAAGACTCCCGGGCCCACAATTGCCCGATCCGCACTACCGCTTGCGAGAAGCACCACGTGGGCGACATCTATCGGCGAATTTGCGAACTAAATGGTCAACCTGGCATTTATGATCAAAATTAAACCCTTTAGACCGCGATTCATTTTACGAGCTGGCTCTTGCTCTTATTTTTAACGTTGTGGCTTTTTCTTCATCCTCCAAAGCACTTATTACATATATTACATATTGTATGCCGATTCAAAAAGACATCCAGAGGAAATAAAACCCAGCAGCGAGACAAACTCATTTACGGGCACAAATTTCGATCAAGTCTCTCTGTCTTCAGTTACTCTGCTCATACTTATGCCGGTATAATATTGCACTGGCAGAGCAGAGCAGAGCGGGATAAAAAGCGAAACGTACCCACAGCCCACAGCGGGACACTGATGGTGGTGGTGGTGGTGGTGGTCATTATAAAAATAACTGCTGATTGGACGCCCTACCAAGAAAAGTCGTAATCGTATCCTCGATGTTAATGTTTCTGTTCCTCTGGAGCGTTTGAGGGACACGAGTCTTTATTCCTTTATCCCTCCCTCAACTTTCTTTTGTATTACTGATTACTGTTCCGCAATATCTCTGGCTTCAGACAATGCCCTTCCTTTAATTACTTTTTTCTCTTACCTTCCTCTCCCTTTATTCCAGACTATTTTTAAGTCCATTCTTTTGATTGCTAAGGAGGTTCCGGCAAATTATTTTATTTTTTCTTCAATTCTTACTAATTTTTTTTTTAATTCTAACAAAATACTTATCTGACATAATTTTACGCCAATTTTATATAAGAAAATTATTTTTAAGAATTTTTTACCTGAAGAATTATTTTATCTAAAAATCAAGGTAAAATATATATTTTTCCATAAAATAAAAAAAAAATTCCACCTTTAAAAAAGTAAATTCAGATTAAACTATTTCAGTGCACTGTACTAGCAAGTGTTTATTTTATTTTAACACACAACCAAGTCAGCAGTTCGTAAAAAGCCCTTGTACAATCAGTATTCGAATCACGTTGTTCGCCATAAAAGCTTCTCGCAACAGCTACGGCTATTATATTGACGACCGCGGCGTTCAAACGTCTATACACTTGAGGTATATACAATATATAAACCAACCTACGTACTCAAAGAGAATATTTATATTCATATTCATACCCCAGATGAAAATATCTTAAAAACATGAAACAAATCCCAGACTATAGCCTTTATTAATAATAATTTTCTCCAAAATTATTTTCATCTTCTCAATTAAAAATAAACCAAATTTTTAGAGATATAATTTCATTTCCACACTGAAAAAAAATTTAACTTGAATCAAGTAAAATTTTTTAGTTTAAGAATTTTTCAACCCAAATTCACCAGAAAATAACGCTTCAGCAGTCATCCTACTTTACATAATAACAGAAACTGGCGGTTAAGATCTTCATCGTCATTACAATTATTACAGTAATGATATATATTTTTTTCTTAGATGTACTTTTAACTCAGGATCGTTTGCTGGAGGTTAAAAGTCTTAAGTTCGCGTTATGCAATGATACTATGTATGCAAAAGGGGGTGAGAATCCGTGTACAATTCCGGTTTGGAGATACACGATTAAAAAATAAATATATTATTACAAACATTGGCAATTATTACATAGATTGTATCAAAAAGTATCGAGCTTGTTCGCCATTTTGTGAGCGAGCATCGTTTTTTATTGTTGCATTTAGTGTATAACCACTAAACTGGTTGCCAGGGCGCGTATATCAACAATAATTGCAGGGCCAATAATAAAGCCGGAGGGGCCAAGTCTCGATAGCCCCAAATTGCCGGTTCCCCTTCTTTTCCTCTAACAACACTTTTGTACTTCTTATTATTATTATTATTATTATTATTATTATTATTATGTTATTTCTTCTTTCCACAAGACCAACTTGCAATGTGTTTTGTTGTTACTTTCTCTGTCGCTCTTTACAACTCGGGATGGTGGATCAAGGATTATCGGGCTCCCAGGGAACTAAACGCTGAACGACATGGCGTCGGCCCTTTGGAGCCTTTGGAGCCTCCATACTGTTCGCGGATAGAGAGGAGAATCTAACGGGGTTAAACAATGTGCAAATTTATATACAACAATATTGTATAGGAAGGACTTTGTTGGTGTACCTTTTAAATCGTTTGCAAGCTCATAAAACTATACGTTCCTCGCGTGATAGTCGCAAATTTGTTATTACTCTTGTTAACGCTCTGGTTCTTTAAAGCCGGGCAAACTCGTTAAATTTTAAAACTTTCCTATCTACCACGTGTCTATCCAGTTTAATATATTAATATATTCATTTATGTTTGTATTGATTTTATCTTAATCGAGTTATTATATTTTATTTTTATCTGTGAGATTTAAATTATTATATGTTGGCTTACAATCAGTATATTGATAATAATTTTTTTTTTTTTATTTTACAGGAACTCCAATCAATCGATTACCTATTATGGCAAAGTCTGTTCTTGACCTGTACGAACTATATAATTTAGTGATTGCCCGAGGTGGTTTAGTAGACGTAATAAACAAAAAATTATGGCAAGAAATTATAAAAGGCTTACACCTGCCCTCGAGTATTACTTCTGCAGCGTTTACTTTACGTACACAGTAAGTATTTAGATTATTATTATTATTATTATGACTACAATTATGGAAAAAATTTTTAATTAAAAAATACTTTGATAACTTCGATTTTTAATAATTAAATTATAAATTTTTTTAAGTAAATTTTTATTTAAAAAAAATGTTTTTTAATAATAATAAATTATTTCAATATTATTTTTTTTAATAAAAAATTAAAATTCTATTCTTTATAATTAAACGTAAAATTAATACTTATGATAAAATATCTAAATTGAAGTTTAACAAAGACATCAAAGGAAGAGTCGAGAATTCAATAGAGCGTATAGAGTAAAAAGAACGTCGTTTAAAGAGTTAATGTCTCGATCCCGAGATAATTGATACGAGAGTGTCACGAGAAGCATATTAGTACTAGTACATATAATATTACAGTGGTGTGCTAGTAGTTTTGCGATGTTATATCTCATATCCCGCGGACGTCTCGTTGCTCGAATGATGGATGTACCACCGTCCCGACAGAATGTCGGACGTCACATACAAAGCGTCGCCGAGTTATTTTCATATGTGGAAACCCCGTCCTGGCCTATCTCCTCGCTATATACGCGCTCGTATATTGCCCTCAACCTCATATCAACGCGGTGAATAATACAACTCAAGTGAACCTCCATACACTAGTTAATAAACTTTTTTTTTAAGCTTATTCTTGTTCATCCCCGTTACTGTCATGATTTTGCGGATCTCAATCCCTGTTTCATATATTTAGAACCGTCATTCTGTCATCTAGTTGTCTTTCATGAGATTTTAATCTTAATTTATCACATATTTATACATTAATTATTTTTTTTATTTATACAATATATAATATATTAAAGGAAATTAATGTCAATTTTTAGAATATATAAAAAATTTTATTAACAAATTTTTGCTCCAAAATTTTTGCAATAATAATAATAATAATCTATATTGTTAAGAATTTTTTTAATGAAATTTATAATACATAATTAAGAAATGACCTTGTATCTTGTGAATTATTAACATTTTTAAAGATATAAGCTCACCTTGACATTATACTCATCGAGACCTTTCATTTGAGTACCCACATCAATTTTTCATATATTATATATATAAATATATGAAAAATATATGAAAATGCATGTGGGTAATCAAATGAAAGCTCTTGATGAGTATATCATCGAAATGAGCGTATTGAGGTATATCTTTAAAAACGTCAATATTTAAGAAAATACAGTGCAATTTAAAAAAAGTCATTATTTAATGAAGCAAAATTTTTGTATTTGTATAGTTCACAAGTCACGGCAGTCCCGTAATGACTGCAAGGTTGTTAATAATAATAATAACTTAATTTTCAAAGGTTATTATTATTATTGCAAAAATTTTGGAGCAAAAAATTATTAATAAGTTAATAAAATATAATTTTTAAATAATATTAATACCAGTAGCAAAAAAAAAAAAGACTCTAAATCTCTTAATAACGATGACAAAATTCCAAGTATTCGAGTTTGTTTATCCAAAAATAATAAAATACAAAATTAACGATCAAGTTAAAGTTTTAAATGTTTGATATACAAAATATTTAATGTTGATTCAAACCCGTTTCTTCTGATTCTTTTGTAGCAAGCGGTTAAATGTTTATTATTGTTTCCTTGAGTCCAAGTGTAAAAGTGCAAGAAGTAAGAAGTATGATCAAGCCGCCAACTAAACTCACTATATTTTAAAAAAACTTACATAATACCCAAAAAACCTTCGAATATACAGTATAATTTAAATATTATTAAAACTCTTAGATCAGAGATCTTGCGACTAAACTTATCTCTAATCTCGACATTATAATACATATATTATATTCTCAAACAATTCAAAAGCCTTTATATATTATAAATAGAATTATTGGGTTAATTTTCTTGACAATAAATAAAAGATAAAATTTTTTTCCTACGAGGCAAGATAGACACGTGCTGTAAAAGGTTTTTGCTTTGGGTTTACTAGTTTATCCCTTAGCCTCATACTCAGTCTGCCAGACAATCGTAAAAAACGAAACGATCCTCACGCGAATTATAGGCTGCGGTTGCTTCAATTTATATATCTATATATATATATATATATATATATATATATATATATATATATATATATAATCGATACAAAAAAAGAAACATGCTCGTAAATTTTTAAATTTGAATTTAATATTTGGAGGATAATTATTTAAAAATAAAATAATTTTTTTGTAATGAAATAAAATGTAATTTTCAGGTACATGAAATATTTATACCCGTACGAGTGCGAGAAGCGACGACTATCGACACCAGCGGAGTTGCAAGCGGCGATAGACGGGAATAGACGGGAAGGACGTCGCAGCAGTTACGGAGCCTACGGAGGAGGTAGTGGTGATAACATGGTACCACGCACCCCGAGCACACCTGGTTCATTGGCACTGCATGCACAAATGTCACCGCTATCTTTAGTATCTGCGTTGGGGCAGCACCACGGGGCTCAGGGTATTGCTAACGGCAGCGCAGCACACACACCTCTGCCATACCATCCTCATCATCCCCAACATCAGCAAGCCGCCGGTAATTAATTCCATTTGCACCACACTAACTTTCCCTATATTCTCTAATAGCTTCTTCGTCTCCTTTTTTCATTCACTTTATTATTTATATCATTAATTATCGCTATGTATTTAACTAAAACTCCAGTTTATTTTAAATCCGGCGCTTGAGTCTTTGCCCTCCCCGGAGATGATCCGAGCCGAGCTGTAATTGATTGTACGATACGCCAAGAGGCAGGCGTTAACGGATGACTCGCGCTAACGAGCATTCCTCAACTTTTTACATTATTCTTGTATATCTTCTTACTCTTATACTTATGCTTACACATATTGTTTTTCCATTATACAATTTTCTTTATAAATTATAAATAATCTCAAAGTTTTATTATTTCATTTTTGCATTAATTTTTTTTTAACAAATTATTTATTTAATTACATTAACTATACCTTTACTAAAATATCATATAAATATTCATTTAACGCAAAATTTCATCTGGGATAATAACTTTACAATGCAATAATAACTTTTGTTGAATTGCACTGTACTTTCTTAAATATTGACATTTTTAAAGATATAAGCTCATCTTGATGTTACACTCATTAAGAGCTTTCATTTGAGTACTCACATGCATTTTTGATATATTTTTCATATATTTATATATATATAATATACAAATATATATGAAAAATTGATGTAGGTACTCAAATGAAAGGTCTCGATGAGTGTAACATCGGGATGAGCTTATATCTTTAAAAATGTCAATATTTCACAAGATACAAGGTCGTTTCTTAATTATGATAAATTGCACTGTACTTTCTTAACTATTGACATTTCTAAAGATATAAACTCATTCCGATGTTACACTTATCAAGAGCTTTCATTTGAGTACCCACATACTTTTTTCATATATTTTTCATAAAAAATGTCAATATTTCACAAGATACAAGGTCGTTTCTTAATTATGATAAATTGCACTGTACTTTCTTAACTATTGACATTTCTAAAGATATAAACTCATTCCGATGTTACACTTATCAAGAGCTTTCATTTGAGTACCCACATACTTTTTTCATATATTTTTCATATATACATATATATAATATATATATATATATATATATATTATTGACATTTTTAAAGATATAAACTCATCCCGATGTTACACTCATCAAGAGCTTTCATTTGAGTACCTACATGCATTTTTCATATATACATATACATAATATATATAAATATATGAAAAATTGATGTGGGTACTCAAATGAAAGGTCTCGATGAGTGTAATGTCGGGGTGAGCTTATCTCTTTAAAAATGTCAATAGTTTACAAGATACAAGGTAATTTCTTATTAATGTATCTAGTGATAGAGTATTTTCGAATGCAGCCTAAATACTTATCACATTAAATTGACTATCGCTAAAAAAAACAATTGAAAATTGCTAATAAAAGAATGATTATTAATAGAATTGTATTACACAGGGCTGATGGCGGGTGGACCGCCGGCTGATTTTGACGCTCGCGTAACAGACTATCTAAAAATGCTGCACCGAGACTTTCACCGTGGTACAGGAGCAACCTCACCTCCAATGACGCTGAAGCACCAGGGTTCCCCGGAAGGTACGCCCCCGCGCGACACAAGAGAAGCCCTGATGGAGATGTCGAAGCTGACCCTGTGGAACATGTACAACCCTTTATACGGAGGACTGGCCCAGCCGCCAGTGTCACCGCAGACCTCGAACTCGCCACACCCGCAGTCGGCGAGCCCAGAGCCGCAGAGAGAAGCCCTGGACCTGGGGCTCCGCACATCTCCAACCTCGACCTCGCCGCTCCGCCATAGCTCGCCCTCCTCCGGCGGAAGTCTCCAAGTAAAGAAAGACCGGGACTCCCACGAGCCCTCCGCACTCATCTCCCACAAACGGGCCCTCTCCGAAGACGAGGGGCCTCATGAGAAAATCCCCGCCCTCCCCGGGACTCATATCAAGATCTCGAACCGCGGGGACGGCAGGAACGGCGACAACTCCCTCGCCGTCAGCATGGAGATCAACGGAATGATGTACCAGGGTGTTCTTTACGCACAAAGCGACAACAATAATAAATCTATCAGTATGAATAATAATAACAACAAAACAAGGAGTTTAGTATCGTGAATTTTCAATTAATTAATATTTTTTTCTTATTTCAATTAAATTATTATAATTAATCGTTAGTTTCGTTTTAAAAAAAAATTTCCTATGATAGATGCTATTTTAATTTAGTTATTAATTAATTTTTAATTAAAAGTTTTAAATTCTCCGGTGAATCCTGATGGTAAATTTTTTTTTTTTATCATTTAATTTTATGTTGCTTTTTATATATACAAAAAAAAATTATTTTACGTTACAAGCAAAGAACAAAATGACACTGGATATCATCCTAGATTATGCTCAGTAGAATCTTGGATTATACTCAGTGATGCCTCCGACATTTTTTTTTTTTTTTTTTCTAGCGCATGCGCACTTAGTTATCATATCTATTATGTATTTTAGATATTAGGATAGTCAAATATTGTTTTAAATACAATCTGAATTTTTTTTTTTCACCGCAAATATCACTGAGTATAATCTGGGATGATATCCAGTGTCATCTTTTTTTTTTTTTTTTTTTTAGTTTAGAATTAACAATCACCGATAAATTTTAATTTGAAAATGATTATTTTATTTATTTAATTTTTTTTCTTTGAATTTATTTTTATTGAATCTCTGTTAATATTATTATTAGTATTTACAAAAAAAAAATTTTTTTTATTATTAATAATTCAGTGGATTCATCGGTAATAAAAAGAGCGCGTGCAATTGAATGAAGAAGCGAAACAATAAAATTATATTTTACTTATATTAATTATATACTTCCATAATATTTAGATTTTTTTTACTCATCTGTATATTTTTTTCTATCCATTTTCTTAACACATGACAGAAAAAAATTTATTAAATTTATAAAAATGAATTCAGTAAAATCAAACTTTTATAATTTATTTATTGTATCATTAATTGACAATTAACATACATTGATAATTAGCAAGTGGTAAATAATAATAAGGAATAATGAATCTTAAAAGCATTACTGATATTAATATAATAATAATAATAATAAATAATAAATAATCCCTGCATTTTATCGTAATTATACTTTTATATAAATCATTATCAATTTGTACATTTTGTTCACATCACTAGCCGATAACTCATCACTTATCAGTTTAATTAAGTAGTAGTGTTAGAATTATTATTTCTAGTAAAAATAATTACTACTTAATAATAATAATAATCCTTATATATTTTTTTTTTTAACCGTATATTAATTTTAATTATTAAATATGACTAAGAATTTATCGCTGTAATGATAATTATTTAATTTATATAAGTGAGGATGGAAAAATTTTTTTATCCGAGTAATTTAAAACTCGGGTTGCTGTGAAATGCAATATTTAATTTTTTATCATTTTAAAAGTAAGTTAATTAATAATAATAATAATAAAGTTTAAAAAAAAAAATCCAGGCATTTTGTTAATTATTTTAAATTGTATTGTTGCAAATGCCTGAATATATACCTTAAAATAAATATATCAAGTATAAATTTATTAGATAATAATTAGAACGAGTATGATGTATCAAATATTCTTTTTTAAGTCGCTATTCTAAGTTACTTGATTTGTAAATCAATGTACGCTCCATAATAAAGAAAACTTATTAAAATTCAGGTATATTATTTTATATTAGTTAACTTATTGTCAATGGTGGCTAGTAATTTTTCTTTTTCTTGCTCGCTGATGAACGCAAAGTCCACTGAGGACCTCACCAATTTTTTCAAATCTTCTTTTGTCAAGTTAAATGTATCAGCGGCTAATTTGTACTCTTGAGATAGTGTCGTATTAAATACTCCCTTGTCGTCAGTCTGAAAAAAAAAATATTTTATTATTATTATTATTTTAAAATTATGATAAATAAATAATTTACTCACTGCAAGACAAAGCGGATGATTCGCTCGGTATAAATATGAAAATTGATGCTCTGATAGTGAAGGGACTGTTTTACATTTTAGATTTGATGTAAGACATAATTCTGTAAATTAAAATTTATTAGAGCTAAAATTAATAAACTAAAAATTTTTTTTAATTGAATTTTTATCAACAAATTGAATTAAAAAATTTAAATTAATAAATATCGAAAAATAAAATTTACCAACTGGTATTTTGGATTCAATAAGCTTATTAAACAATTTTAAGCTTCCGCTCAAATTTGGATGAATATTTGTACAGTGACCCAACCTGTCCGGTTTAAAGTCCAAAATATCCATTACTTCTTTCTCATTTGGAACCTTTTAAATAAATTTTAAATATCATCAGATTATTGACTATTTTTTTTTTTTTTTCCATGTTTTTAGTAAAAATACCTCAGCGCAATGAGCTGCAATTTTAAGCCCAACATCTCTGGCACTCTTTAGTAAATTTAAGCAAGCGTCTCCTTGAGTTGGATCTCCGCTCAAGTCAATCCCTACGAGACACTCTGGATATTTTTTGTAGTACTCAATGGCTAGTTTTATATTTTCTTCGGCGTCTTTGAAGCCGTTTTTGCGGTTCACTGAAACTAGGAGCTTTACTGTGATACCTGGAGTAGTTTTTTTTGAATGTCTGAAAGCAAATAATTAATATCACAAAATTGAATAAATAAGGACACAGTACTAAGATGAATTTATTTAATTGAAAACTTACTCAATAGCTTTAATGATGGTGTCAATGTACTCATTTTTAGTCATTTTACCCTCGACATACCTTGGAGTGCTTCTCAGCTCCAAGTAAATTACATTGTCATCATTAAATTCATTAATTACGTCACAGGTTGTGATAAATAATGCTTCAATTGTGTTAGTTAGCGAGTGAACAATATCAAATATTTTAAAACATCTAAAATTAATCAATATTTATTTTAAATATTTTATAATAATAATAATAATAATAATAATAATAACTTGATTCTTTAAAATTTTATTATTTTTTTTAATTTGTAAAGAAAAAAAAAAATTAATAATAATAATTACTTACTCTTTTAAAGAAACTGAAGAATCAATTTTACTTAATTCATCATTAAAATTTTTATTATTTAATTCACTTAATTTGCGAATAGTTTTTTGTGACACTGATCCATTTAAATGCGCGTGAAGTTCCTAAAATAAAAATAATTATTTTAACTAAATTATTCTTTGAGCATTTAAAAGAAATAACTTACAAGCTTCGGTAACTTTTGGCAAAATAAATCCATATCAGTATTATCAAATTATTTAATTTAAAAAAAAAATTGTTGTTTGTAACCGACAAAAAAATTACTAAAATCACTAGTGTGTATAGTAAATTTTACAGGTTATAAAGCGCCCTCTGGAAAAAAAATTTAAGAATTAAAATTAAACGTTTATAAAAAAAATTAAACAATAAATCACTGTCTATCAGGATCTTTATTGATCAATTTTTAATTACCGATAACATGACAGTGTAATAATTGTAAATCTTAAGATAAAAATTTTACAAGTGTTTAGTCTAACAAATAAACTAAACGACAGAAATAAAATAATTCTATATTTATATTTTTAATCAGCTTTTTTCATCTATTATTCAAGAGACCAACTTGTTACTTAGCAATTGAATTACAATTTTAAACAATTTCAATGAGTGCTTATGATCGCGGAGCGAGGGATTGTAATTCGCTGATACACTGTTGCAAAGCTGCTTTTTCTTGATCTGGTGTGATTGATTTCACCACGTTGTTGATTATCCATTGAGTCATGTGTTTCTGGGCAATTCTGCGCTCGACATTTGCAATTTGCAATTGGTAGTCCAATCGTTTTTTCACCTAAAAAATTAATGACAATTTTTTAAATAAAATTAAAAAAATATAACATTAAAGTTATTGATTATTAAATATATAATTATTGAAATTTATAAAAATAACAAACCTCATTATAAACAGTGAATGCGCGCTCCCGGTAAGAAGCTTCAATCTGAGTTTTAATATTCTCTTTCTTGGCATCCATGATCATCTGCTGAGCTTCAGACCTCCATTGCTCTTTTTTCTCGTGCTCAATGGCCTGCTCGTAGGCATCAACGGTGTCAGTACGGGTCCTCTTGGCCGCTTCTTCATCCTTGTCCATCTCAGCGTCCAAGTACTTGGCCATAGGAGGACCGGCGTTCTTCACTACGACGATACTCATCACCAGACACGCGATACCGGTATAGTACTCGTGCTCCATCACGTAAAATTCCTTGGATACCAGGTATGTTGACAGTCCCAAGGCGAACATGTATGGACCTGAATAAATTTGTAAAAAAAAATTATTAAATGTTTTATTAAATTATTAAATTATTAATAATTTAAAAAAAAATTTTTACATGTCTAATTTTTTACTCTAAAAATTTTTGTCATAATTCATAATTTAAAAAAAAAAAAATTATTTTTTAATAAAATGGAGTTAATAATAATAATAATAATAATAATTAATAATTGAAACAATACGCACCAGTGTATCCAGTTTTGTTGTAGAAAAATTGGAACCATTCCTCTGGAATGAATCCATGACGAACTGGGTCCGGGTGAAGTGGACGAGTACGTCTTTGAGGTTCAATCGCCGATGACGATGCTTGGACACGTGTTAGTGCGGGCAAACGTGTTGCCAATGCTGAAATTTTAAATAATCCAATTAACTAAATAATTTTTATTAGTTATTGTTAAAAAGTGAGTAAATAAAAAAAATTTTTTTATTATTACATAATGGAAAATAGAGTGTGTAATATTTACAAAGTTCATGAGTGAAATTAAGCGTGATCTGAATTAGAAACTGATTGAAAGAATGTTGCTTAAGAAGTGACAGATTGAGGAGTTGCTAATTTTTCTAATAATTACCTTTTTGCAGTGCTAATCTTGACAACATTTTTGCTGGTTAATTCTCAGCAGCTTCACCGAGAACTGGGTGAATAAAAAAAAATATGGCTACCTAATGACATTTGTAGGATGACAATGTGGTAATGTTTTATGTAACTAGCTGAGTTTCTAGGGAGTTTTCATTTTTTAATAGTGGGTAAGTTATCATCTGAGTAATTGTTGATAATATTTGCGCGCTTATCAAAGAATCCCCGCTTTTTTTATTATTATTTAAAATATTAGAATTTTTTTTGATAATTATTTAAAAATTAATATAAAAATATTTTCAGACTTAAATTTTTTTGCGAAATTAAAAAAAAAAGCGCTCTGCTAAAAAATAATTTTTAAATTGATTTACAAAAAGAGTTTTTTTAAGAATTTGCGGCTTTTTTTTACAGCGCAAAAATCTTTTATATATAAAAAATAATAACATGAATTATTAAAAAAAATTTTTTACCAAAAGTTCAATTTAACTCCGACAGCTAAAAATAAAAGTTCCTACTCAACCAACCTGAACTACTGTCAAAAATAAATTTAACCATAGTTGATATCAACTCTAGACCCTTGACGCTACCTTACCCTGATAGCCAAACGGGTCGCAACTTTCCGTTGATTTGCTGCAGCAACTTGTCACCAAGTTGGCGGCAAGTCTTGGAAATGAACTCGGTTGTTCACCAAGTTGTCGCCAAGTTGTCGGCAGAAATTGCTTTCGAAACTCTTTCGCACCAAGTTGACGACAAGTTTCTCAAGAAATTTGGCGACATATTGTGCGGCAGTAGATTGGTCTTGTTTTTCGTGTTTTTCTCAGAAATTTGTAGCCAACTTGACGCTAACAGTTTCAAATTCGGAAGTTGACCGCAAGTTGTCGGTAAGTTGGTGGCAACTATCTGACACCAACTTGGTTGGTCTGAAACTGTAGCTATCAGAGTTTTCAGCGCAATCGATCCCTCAGTCTCTTACACACAACCCTTCTCTCCCCGCTAGATTAAAAAATTCAATACTCCCCATTCGCAAATACACATATCAAACACCCAAAATCAACAAACTGAGCAAACCGAGATATTTTCCCACAAAAAAAAAAAAAAAAAAAAAAAAAAAACCCAGTTCCCAAAACACCTCCACTATTCAAGCCCTAAAATTTTAATAATTTTTCTCTAAATAAACAAAATTAATCAAGTGACGAGTAAATATTCCCGAAGCTCTAAATTGAATGAAAAAACCCAAAAAGCAAAATAATAGTAACATATAAACCCAGTGAGAGATTCTATGCCTCGGTTTATCTGTACCAGCTTTTTTACATCTCCCTATTAACGCAGTAAATTGAAAAACCAGAAAAAGCTTTTAATTCCATAGATATTAAATCCGATATAAATTTATTTACAAAGAATAACATACACCCTTGATGATTGACTCCTCCCCTGAAGCGACTGTTAGCTCCCCATTGAAAGCGGTCTCCGTCAACATCAATCTCATTAGCATAAAATATAAAAAAACTAACTGGATCCTCATAAATAATAATCCAAAGAAATGATAAAGCTGACCATGAAGCCTCTGAAAATTCATCTAGATACAGTGGAGCGCCCTACAACCTACACCCTAAAAGAGTCTACGTTGATAAATGTCGTATGAGCAAAGTTCCACAGGGTAAACCCGAGTAAACTCAACCAACTCAACTAAAGAATTCGCCGATCTATATATACATCTCTCCATACATTTATATACCTATAGAAAGAGAGGAAACGTAACATTGTAGTTGTATCTAGTCTCTCCAGTAGTATTAAAGGTTTTTTCCTCGTCGCTCTTATCGGGTTAGTATCCTGCGAATTCCAGGGATCAATGCGTTGGTGCGCCAAAACGCTTGCGCCGACCACCAGCCCCCGTAGACGCTTTTCCACCCTCCTTTGATCATCCTTCTTTGGCATCTCGCCCCTCACCTCGACTTTTCGCATTCTCCCTCGTGCTTGATCCTCTCTGTCGCGACCCTCCACTATCAACACCACTACAGCTCTTTGGTTCAAAGCCAGCTCCACTGTAAACACACACCCACACACCCATCTCCCAATATATATATATCTGCCTCGCTAAAAGCTCCCACCAACGATCGACAACCCGCGTCGTCGTGCGCTGCCCACGGAAATTCTAAAACTCCTCGGCGCTTGTGCAGGGTGGCGATGGTGACCGTCGTGTTGGTGGTGGTGGTGGTGGTGGTGGTGGATGTATTGGAGCCATAGCAAAGGAAAAGTCCGTGATCCGGGTAAGGGACTCCTGGAAAGGGCTGCTGCCATATCTCTATTGTATTACTGACTCCAAAAATCGCTTAAATTTTATTTTTATTCCTCTTAATTAATTAATTATTAATACAAAGCTCCGCCCGATTTAATTGATTGTGTGTCGGTGGTTTGTCAGCACATTTTATATCAGAGGATACTTTCGAGTGCCAGCTGAGAGGTGAAGTGTGTTAGTAGTACTGTTGTTGCTGGTGTTGATTTTCTCTGCTCTGCTACAGAGACAAAACTGCTAACTGACATTAATAAAAGTGACCTGTCACGGAGGAATAATTATCGGGGATTTTATTTAAACAAATAAACCCAGTGGTGGATGGTAAAACTCAAGTGGGTTGTTGTCAGGCGTTGCTTGGCTCGAGTGTGCATTTGAACGTGTAATTAGACACCAAGACTTAACATACACACTGATACAAGTAAAGATAGAAAAAACACACCAAAAAGAAAGCACTTACACCTATATAACATTATTTACAAGTGTGTTGCTTATAACAGTGTGGGGGCATGTATTCCCTTACGGGTCCCTCATTTGAGGGTTGACATTGCTCTGGGTTATTATACTTCCAGACTGCACATACTTGTTAATTCAACGGATTTCTCTGACACCTCTAGTGAGCCGTGTACCACCTAGCGCCTTACGGGTGAGTTCCTGCCCACTATTTCTTATTACGCTATTTTCTTTACATTATTATGCCTGCTATGCCTAAGTGACAAACCCTCTACTATACTATAATATACACACAGAGCTGCACCGGAGGTTGTGTGCATTGTCTCAACATCTATGTACTCTGCTTAATAATTTACCGCTGCCCAACGACCCGATTGTTATCACAATTTAAATTGATAAATTATTATAAATTATTCCTCCCCTCTTTTCACCGAAAATTCCATCATTTTTTTCTTTTATCGGTTTAATTCATAGGTCACTGTTTCACGGCTTGACAATAAGTCGGATGATATCTTTGAATATTTATAATCTCCTACGGAACGGGCAGCCTCGGTACGGTTTTACGAGCACAAGTTAAATCGGATTATTCTCATGATATGAGTTCAGCCTCTGTACAGCCATTACAACTGCAGCTCTGTTATATATTATTTTATTTATAATTATTAACAAGCTCTATTATATTGCATTTCTATAATCTTCGGGAATTCCTGTGGGACTTGCTGCTAGTATACTTGCCAGTATGGTGTCTGGTGTAGGTGTACGCCGGCATAGCAATAAATAAATATCTATCGGTATTATCATTATCTCATTCATTTTCCACCACGGCTTACGATAACTTTATAAACACTCCTTATGTATCGATTGCATATTAAATTTTTTATCCAGGTCAATCTCGGTATTTATTCGGTATTAAATGAACAAGAGGCTACGGGAATAAAATAAAAAGTACAAAATTGTCTAAGATTAAAGAAAAAAAAAAAATAAATAAATAAATAGTAGAGCATAAAAAATTTATGGAGCAGAGGCCAGCTTTTGCAGAAATGATTTTGATTTATTTTTAGCGCCGTTCGATTATCGATTGGTTATAGGGTGGCAAAATATATATACGTATATATATTTCCACTATTTGTTATACGTGATTTATATAAACGCGTGTATTAAATTAAGTATGCAGGATATTTATTGTTTGTTATTATTATTTGATTATTATCGTTGTTTATTGAATGATAGAGTGGGTGCGTGTGTTTGATAATTTATTATTCATTAAAAGTGGGGATTTTATTAGGCGGCAAAACGTTTCTAGCTTTTAATAATTATTGCATGTTTATAAGTGGCAATTGCTTGTATATATATATATAAATAGTAACTTGAGTACATACGTATCTATATATATGTTTATCTGTTTGTGTATATATGTGTATAATAGTAATGTAAACTGTTAAATCCCTAGACGCGCGCGTTTTCAACTCTATCCAATAATTTCTATCCCATTCCTAGTATTAAAGTTACCTCTACTTCCATCCTCACTTACGCTCTCTTTCTTTCTCTCTCAACTGGCCTCTCACTCTTAATCTGATTATTTTTAACCGATAAATATATATAGAGGACTATACTTTACCTTCCAATTATCTCAAGAAGTTGGTAATGAACAAATCAAACTTTATTATTGTTTTTTTTTTTTTTTTTCTAACAACCTGAGATAATAACTTAACTCTCGTCTTTATCTTTAAATTCAACAATAGACAGTTTATAATTGTTTAATTTTATAAAAAAAAAATTATTTTAAAATATTTATTTTTTTAATTTTAACTAGCAACCTTGCAGTCATTAAATGACTGCCGTGACTTGTGAACTATAAATAAATAAAATTTTGCTTTATTAAATAATGACTTTTAATAAATTGCACTGTACTTTTTTAACTATTGACATTTTTAAAAATATAAGCTCATCCTGATGTTACACTCATCAAGCGCTTTCATTTGAGTACCCACATTAATTTTTCATACATTTCATATATTTATATATATGTATATATGAAAAATATATGAAAATGCATGTGGGTACTCAAATGAAAGCTCTTGATGAGTGTAACATCAGGATGAGCTTATATCGTTAAAAATATCAATAGTTTACGAGATACAAGGTCATTTCTTAATTATTGATATTTTTAACGATATAAGCTCATCCTGATGTTACACTCATCAAGAGCTTTTATTTGAGTACCCACATGTATTTTTCATATATACATATATTTAATTGATGTGGGTACTTAAATGAAAGGTCTTGATGAGTTTAACATCGGGATGAGCTTAGATCTTTAAATATATACCAAATTTAACCATAAAAACCCATTTTATCATATAAATACACTGGCCAAAAAATTTTGCTTATTCTCTTAATTTAATAATATAGATAATTTTAAAATAAACATTTAAACATCATTTGCCGATTTTGCATTATGTAATTGATACGAAATGAAATACCTAAATATACTCTGAAAGGCCGAAATATCATGATTGACTGAATTCAATTAGACCTTTAAATAGACCCGAGTAATGGTAAAAATATATATTGATTAATGGAACATGGAGCCGAAATATTCATCGAATAAAATTCCGCAATAAAATATCATCTGAAAAAAAAAAAAAAACCAAATAAAATTTAATTGGTGAAAAAATTGGATAATGACTATAAATTAAAAATCGATGATTGAATAAAATTTATTTAATGTCTGGTAATGAAAGCTTAATTAAATAAAACTGACTGTCGATTGAAAAATGAAAAGTAAACAGCGAACAGTGAAGAATGGTGAATAGCATTAATATAATTAAAATAGCATGTCGGTATTTATTTATATACTTTAATATTATTTCAACGTTTCGATTTCATGGTACAGTATAAATTTCACTGTATTGTTGTTTTTTATCGCTAAAAAAATATTATACTTTTGAGTAGTGCTTGAGGACGACAGTAGAATGGTTATTTAAGTTCGAGACCTATGTTTTTTCTTATTCCAAGTTCGCTAAGTAAATATAAGCTCAAGAAGTTTAAGCTGAAAAAAATATACGCGACCTTTTGATTTAAATAAAGGAAAAACTATTAAAGGTCTCTTTAATGTTATCATGTATTATTAATGATAAAATTTCTGAGAAAACTCAATAGTCATGGGAATACCGCTCTCGTTAATATTTATGCTCCAATATTATATAAATAAGCAACACTTTCTAGAATTTTAATACTTTCAGTTATAACTTGTAATTCTATTTGACCGTATTGGCCATTAATAATATCTTTACTATTATCATTATTAGTTAATGTATTTGATTTTCATCAAAGCCGTTCATATTATTCATTTTAAGTTATAATCAATATTTATAATATTTACTTAACGAGTCAATACAAATATTCATTTAAATATTAATCTCGATAAATTATATAGAATAACTTATTTTATTATTTATATTAATTTTAGTAATGTTTTTTTTTTTTTTAATCTAATTTATCTAGATTTTTATCAGTGTTATTTAAAATTTTCTAAAAGTCACTGTAATTTTTTATAAATATATTATTAAAAATTAATTTGATTAAATTTTATTTTTTATTCAAAATTATTTATTCCTTCAAATTAATTTTTTTATTAATTAATAAATTAATATTTAAGATATTAGTATAATTTAAAATTATATATTACAGACAATGAATAGAAACCCTCGGGTAATTAGGATTGCCCTAATCATCACAAATTTTCTCCAATACATTAGATCCTGAAATTGGCAATTTCCGAGCTCGGAGCTATACCAAATACCATACAATTTATTGCATTACAATAAGATAACTATTATTATTATTATTATTATTATAATTATAATTTCAGATTGTAAACCGCAGTCATAATGAGGGACCGACTTTCGTGGTACATGGTATTCTTAATTCTTCCAACAATTTTATTGGCTCGTTCACTTGACAAAGGTACACATAAACAAAGTAATAGATTTAAGCTAGTAGGTAAAATAAAATGTATGCTATCTCCGAACGATAAATGCCGGGATTGTAATAAATTTACGGACGATAAATTCACCAGTTAAAAATTTGCCCGCTAAGCGATAAAAATTTTCATTTTGTCAAAGATCGCCGAGTGCCGTATAATATACCGCCCGACTGGCGTGCATTGTGGTACAGCAATCTTGATGAGCTCCAAAGAGTCAATGAAGCAAATGATAACAACACGGTATCCAATGTCACTGTCCAACTGGGAGGGACTGCATTTTTGCACTGCAAAGTCCGCAATATTGGCGAGCGTTCCATCTCCGATGCCGAGGTACAAATAAATATCTTTATTACTCTGTTGACTGTTTTATCATCCACTAGCAATCTGAAAGTCACTATAAATAAATAAAATTTTGCTTTATTAAATAATTACTTTTGTTAAATTTCACTGTACTTTCTTAAATATTGACGTTTTTAAAGATATAAGCTCATCCTGATGTTACACTTATCAAGAGCTTTCATTTGAGTACCCACATGCATATTTCATATATTTTTCATATATAATATATATAAAATATATAAAATATATGAAAAATTGATGTGGGTACTCAAATGAAAGGTCTCGATGAGTGTAATGTCGGGATGAGTTTATATCTTTAAAAATGTCAATTGTTCACAAGATATTTGTTAAATTGCATTGTACTTTCTTAAATATTGACATTTTTAAAGATATAAGCTCATCCCGATGTTACTTTCATCAATAGCTTTCATTTGAGTACCCACATGCATTTTTCATATATACATATACATAATATATATAAATATATGAAAAATTGATGTGGGTACTCAAATGAAAGGTCTCGATGAGTGTAATGTCAGGGTGAGCTTATATCTTTAAAAATGTCAATAGTTCACAAGATACAAGGTCATTTCTTAATAATGCATCTAGAGATAGAGCATTTTCGAATGCAGTCTAAATATTTATCATCATAAATTGACTATTGGTGAGAATGATATGAAATCTTGAAAAGTCACAAATTAAAGTTAAGATCTTTGCAATGACACTTAATTTTTAAGCATAAAAATCCATTTTATCATATAATATAAATACACTGGTTACAAAATTTAACTTATTCTTTTAATAATATAGATTATTCAATTTCAGGTGATCTGTTATTGGAAAAAAAATTCAATTAATTATCATTCAGTTAAAAAACTCTTGTTAAAATAAAATATTTTTAGATTCACAGACGGTCCTAGAGATTAATCGCGATTAATATTCTATCGGCTTAAATAATTTATTGAATCAAGTCTCTAAAAGTTTGTAACAAATCATTTATCCATAAATTGATACTTGAAATAATAGATTTTCGATTTGGACTTTCGACAAGCTCTCCTAAATAATATTATCTGGAATATTGTACGGCTAAGCAGGGGATGAAAAAAATAGATAGTGGAGTAAAGTTAAAGCAAGAACTGAGAAATCGGAAAATTTTCTTGGGCTTGCCAGAGTGAGACATTAATTTTATCAGCTCTTCTCCTTGACTAAACGTTGTTTTTAATCTTCCAAGATCTAATTGTAATTTTCCTTCTGCAGCTCTAGCTCAAACTCAAGCTCTAAAATTCTTTAGTGTCTACAGAGTCTCTATATCTCACTTTATCCCTCCTAGAGTAGAGACACTGATAGCGATAGCTGGAATTTATTTTTTACTGCCACTCTCTTAGCTATTATTGTTATAGACACTCTCAGCCCTATGGTCATCTTGCCCCGCGGACGAACATTCAATCGGGATTCAGATAAGAGGTTCAGTAAAGAGTTTAATGCCGAGTTAAATAAATCCTCGCTTAGTTTAATCGATTCATTAGTTGCCGAGATATGAGGATTTGAAATAGATAAAAAAATTGCATCCAAAGGTCGCGAGTTCGAATCCTGTTCAGGGAAAAAAAAATACTCTTTTTGTTAAATTACTCCAACGCAAATTCATTTTTAATAAAACTACGTATGTTAGGTATTCAATCAATATTTCCGCCACTTTATTTAATACACTACACTGCTCTTGGTTTGTTTTTTAAAATTTTTATTTTAATATTAAAAAATCATTTATTGTCATCGTGAAACACAAAGCATAAAGGAGTTCAAAAAAAATAAATAATAATGATAATAATGGTAGTAATAATAATAAAGGAATACAAAAAAAAAAGAATGTATTGTATTTTATAGATATCATGGATACGTCGTCGAGACTGGCACGTATTGACGAGTTCTTTATTCACCTACACAAACGACGAACGATTCCAGGCACTTCATCCGGAAGGCTCGGACGACTGGACACTACAAATAAAATATGTTCAAGAGAGAGATAATGGGACGTATGAATGCCAGGTAATTATTATTGCAAAAAATATTTTAAATACTCCTATAGACAATATTTATTATTATTATTTTATTTTTTAATTTAGCATTATTGCTTCCATTCTTCCAGACTGTAATTTTTAACTATTGATTTTTGTGAAAAAGTATTGACACCCTTTGCAAAGCGTAATTACATTAAAAAAACTGACAAGTACCCTCTTGTTACGCCTGTGCTTAACTTCAACATCAGGGGAAGTATTTTTGAGTACCTGTGTCATTGACGAGTCGGTATAATTAGGGTAATTGATTTTTATCCGTTTGAGAGAGAGATTAAATTAATAAACTCGTTTTTGAGATAATGCGGAGTATTTCTGTCGAGACGGTGGCTTTAATTTTAATTAGCAACTTTTCAGTCACTGTGTGACTGCCGTGATTTATGAACTATAAATAAATAAAATTTTGGTTTATTTAATAATGACTTTTGTTAAATTGCACTGTATTTTCTTGATTATTGACGTTTTTAAAGATATAAGCTCATCTTGATGTTACACTTATCAAGAGCTTTCATTTGAGTACCCACATCAATTTTTCATATATTTTATATAGATTATATATATGTATATATGAAAAATATATGAAAATGCATGTATGTACTCAAATGAAAGCTCTTGATGAGTGTAACGTCGAAATGAGCTTATATTCTTAAAAATATCAATAGATAAGGATTGACATTGTATCTTGTCAACTAATGATATTTTAAAAAATATAAGCTCTTCCCGATGTTACATTCATCAGGAGCTTTCATTTGAGTACCCACATGTATTATTATATGTTTCTCATATATACATATATATAATATATATGAAATATACGAAAAATTGATGTGGGTACTCAAATGAAAGGTCTTGGTGAATATAATATCGGGATGATCTTATATTATCTTCAAAAATATCATTAGTTGACAGAATACAATGTTATATAATTTATTATTGACATTTTTAAAGATATAAGCTCATCTCGATGTTACATTTATCAAGAGCTTTCATTTGAGTACCCACATGTATTTTTCATATATTTTTTATGTATACATATATATAATATATATGAAATATATGAAAAATTGATGTGGGTACTCAAATGAAAGCTCTTGATGAGTGTAACGTCGGGATGAGCTTATATCTTTAAAAATGTCAATATTTCACAAGATAAAAGGTCATTTTTTAATTATATATCTAGAGATAGAGTATTTTCGAATGTGGCCTAAATACTTATCATCATAAATTGACTATTGGTGAGAATGATATGAAACTTTTTAAAGTCAAGACCTTTGCAATGACACTAAATTTCATTAAAAACACCGATTTTATCATATGACTATCCTGGAGGCAAAATTTTCCTTATTCTCTTAATAATGTAGATGATTTAAAATTTAGTGAGCGGTAAATCTTAAAGTGTCGCACGATAATGCGATTATTGAGTAAGTTGAGAGATATAAATATCAAATATCGATAGCGCGGTAATATGGACTCTGAGAAAGACAATGATTGAAGTACTCGCTGAATGTTAAATTGCAAATGTTGGATGTGGATGAAGGTAAAGTGAAATAACTGACGGATACATGATGTGTTCCAGGTATCAAGAAGCACAGGAATAATATCACATTTCGTGAATCTAAACGTGGTGATACCAGAGGCATTTATATTAGGCAGCGAGGAGCATCACGTCGACGTGGGTTCTATAATAAGCCTCGTATGCATAATAGAAAAGGTGATGAAAGTATTAAATAATAATAAAAGTATAAAATAAAATAGTACTACTCTCCCATAACTTTTATCTTTGAAATAACGCTAATGGTGTCATAAATTGTGATGAATTGCCTGTTTACCAGTACCTCATTTGTAAAGTGACGATATATTTATATGGATCTACGCTCTCCACATATTTATACCAAGTACGCGTATACAGAGTCGGTGGATAGTGTACAGAGCTCCAGTTAAATGGGGACGTTAAACGAAAATTCCTATTTATACGGGATAATTTACTGTTTTGTGATCGTATTATGCTTTTTAGTAGTTATTTAAATGTCACCCTCCTCCAAAGGGTTTATTTTTATTTTTTTTTTTTTTTCAAAATCTAAATTGTTTGTTTTAATTTGATGAAAACTAATCGATTTGACGCTAAGGGGAATTCGCGAAAAATATTTTAATCTATTTTTTTAATGGAAATTATTAATAAATGCAATTTTTTTCTAAGAAAATTATTAAAAGTTAAAAAAAAAATATTTTATGCTAAATAAATTAACAAATTATTTCTGAATCAATTAATTTATTAAATATATTAATTATTTATAAATTCAATATTTAACTCAATAAAAAATAATCAAAAGTTTAAAATTAATTTTTAATGCTCAATAAATGACTAAGTTATTTAAAAAAAAATAACTGGATAAATTTTTAACGTTAAATAAATTTTTCTATCAGTTTATTTGTAATGATTAAAACTTGTATGTTATTTTAATAAAATTAAATGTGTCAAAAGACATAGAATAGATTAAACAGAGACATGTAACATTGAACAGTAGAAGTTTGTTGTTAAGCGTACACAATGAATTAAAGTAACTTGTAGTGAATTAAACTGGAGAATGTTAAACTGCGCATTTTTTTGCACAGTGAATAATAGTTTAAAGATTTACCCGAAGCACTTGAAGGGTTAATTATGTTAAATAAAATAATTACAGAGCCCTACGCCTCCTCAGTATGTGTTTTGGTATCACAATAATCGGATGATAAATTATGATACCGCGAGAGGAAGTGTCAGTGTACAGACAGAGCCAGGACCAACTCAAAGTCGTCTTACAATTCAGCAAGCAGTTGAAACAGACTCGGGAAATTATACTTGCAGGGCTTCCAACACTAAGCCCGCTTCAATCTTCGTCTTCGTAACAGAAGGTAACTTTTATATTATATATATACAAAATACAATACATATATATATATAATGTATGTTGGTACTACTTTGCATTTACCGACACTGCCGGCTGGCTGACTTATAACGTCTACATTAAATCGTTGTTTTAATTCACATCTTAGAGCTATCATTACGATTGTATTGTGTGTTGTCTGTCTTGGCGAGGTATTTTGCCGTAATCTTTTATTGCAGAGCGTTGATTTTAACTGTCGTATTTCCCGAGATTAACTTGTCATTGTGTGAATAATTTGATAGGCTTCCTTTCGTTACTCTATATTTTACTCTATTTTATTTCGCGGGAAGTAATAATTGTTATTTATTATCTTTTAAGGAAGTTTAATCAGAATCTCGGGATAAAAATAATAAATTTAAGAACATTGTTTTAATTTTTTCCGACATTTTTTACGTATTCAAGATTGATATTACGCGGGAACAAAGTTTTTACTTTTTTCGGTAATTAACTTCTCGTTACTTTAAATTTATTTAACTTGTACACCTTTCGGAGTTTAATTTAAAAAAGTTTCTCATTAGAATTATTACTACACGGAAAAAGTAAAATTGTTTCATATTAAATGAAATAATTATTAAAGTTATTTTATAAAATAAATAAAGTATAACTTTTAAGAGAAAAGAGTAAAGCTAACTTCATAAAGACAAGTAGTAAAGTTATTGTTGCGTCATACGTATAAATTCATAAGTGGTTTTTACTGCTAAATAGTACTCATAAATAATAAAATATAAAACGTCAGAGAGAAAAATAAAGTTTATAATGATCATAATATCTAAGTTTTATGTTTAAATACGTCATCTACCGGTTAAAAGTCCTTATGAAATTTTATAATTGTATTAAATATCTAAAACTTTCAATACCGACGTCGGAAATTGTGTCTAATATTTTTTTTTTTTATAATTATTAAATTGTCGCTATATTAACAAACTAGTTTAACACACTGGATTTATCTGTCCTGATTGTTTAAAATTTTATTCTACTATATCGTGGCCGAGTTAACGAGACTAGCTGTGTGAGTTACGACGAATAGTTATTATGCCATATATATATATATAATTCCAAGTCTAGACACGGGTAAGATTCAAATTCGTCTCACTGGTGCTGGTTGATGCTGGATCCTTGATGCCACACTATGAAGTTAGATTAATATATGAATAGAGAATGAGTTTAATATGCTCCATGTATTATCTGTTGTCTTGATTTTTTGATTACATCTGATCAAAATATCTATTGAATTATTCATCGAAAATTTTTTTATTTCTACATTTACATCTTTTTTATTTATATAATTCACAAATTGGGTGCGCAGTAGCCTATCGGATCCGGCCCTTGCTTACCAAAGCATTGGACCACCGGGTTCGAGTCCGGCGTACACCAATGAATATTTTCAATATTTAAGTGTATTATTCTGCTCAGCCCAAGAAATAAAACGAGTTCCAATCACAAAAGTTTACCCCCTACCGTAGTCGCTCATGACCTTAGTAGTTTATGCGATTTTAAAAAAAAAAATTAAGAAAAAAGAAATTCACAAATTTTATGAATCAATTTTTTTTTTATTTCTATTTTTACATAAATGTTTATATTTACATTCTTTTATTTCTTCCTAAAATTTATTTTACACCATTTTTCACTTTTTTTTTTTTTATTTTTTTGTTTGCTTCAATCAATTTTTTTAATTATTTGTTTTATATAACTTTTTGCACTTGATTTTTTACAATTTTTTCCACCCAACATTGTTTAAAAAAATCCTTTTTAATATTTTTCACAATTTTATCAATTATTTATTTATTAAAAAAATGAGTTTATTTATTATTTTACCCTTTTTTATTCTTTCAATTAAAATTGAATAGAAAACATTTTTTTTTATCTCTAAAAAACAATTTACAAATAAAAATAAAATTTTTTAATTAAATAAAAAAATTATTAAATTCCGAAAATTAAATTTTAAACGCCGATAAAAACAAAGTTGGTAATTATTTATAAATATTAATATTTTAACGATGACATAAATAGTTAAATTCATCCTCAGCGATATCTCAACTCTGCATTAACCCTCCTAAGGCCTAAATAATTTCAGACCTAAATTATCCGCCTCAATTTCATTTTCTTTATGATTCGAGGCGTAAAATTCTATGAATAAAATTTTTCCTAACAAATATCTTTATTTTATCATAAAATACAAACAATTTTTTTTAAACAAGTAATTTAATCAAAATTGAATAGATTATTTAAAATTTCCGATCTAATACGCCCGCAGGTCACTCGACCATCAAAGAAATTAGAAATTTCGTTTGACAATAAAATAAATTTAAAAGCTCACTAGAGCAAATAGTCTAATTAGAGGGAAATAAAGGACTTGCTCGGCAATTTCAATGTAATATAGATAATAATTAATTGACACTCGATACCCTTTCTGCCGACTTTACTCTCGATCAATAGACCGATAGACCTGAGCCGGAAAATTCTATTTCTATTATTCGGTATTGATTTAATCATAATCAACCGATCGCTTAATTATGACTTATTTTTTTCTCTAAAATTAAGGAATTTTCCTGAAAAAAAAATTTAAAAGTATAAAAAAATTAAAATACGATCAGTAGTTCTTTATTTATAAAATAATTTTTTGTTTAAAAATAAATCCGTTTAAAATAAAACAAAACTATTAAACCGAATTAAACTTTCGGTGTGCATACTAAAATTTTAGTCGGCGGTCAGACGAGCTAGTCGTATTAGTAGTACCTATAAAGTAGTTACTCCCAACATTTAGTTTTGAATTTCCGATTACTTTAAACTACTTTCAACTACTTATCACTCGCTGCATTGTAATCTCATTCTCACAATATTATATTACGTAAATTATTTTCAAATACACACTACCGACTAAATCTCTAAACTTTCAATGAATTTTTTATAAAAACAATACTGAAGAAATAAATTTTATTATTTTTTTTTATTTACAGAAATTAATTTACTTGTCGGAAAAAAATAAAATGTATCTTTGATTGTTTAGATTTCTAAATTTAACGTTAAAAATGGCCCTCTGTTTATGAAGAGCTTTAAAATAAAGTCCAAGGTGAACCTAGTAGCTGGTAGCTCATCGAATTTGTACTTGAATCCTAAAATAAAACGTACTTTCAAAGAGGATAGTATTCTCCAACCGATCAAACTAAAACCTATAAACTAAATTTATAAATTGTATACGCTTCGGTTTTAACAGTAGTTTCGCTTTTATTGAAGTTCTTTTTAAAATCTCTAATGTTACCAACTGGGGGTTTATTTTTATACAAAAAAAAATATATTGTTTGTAGAAAATTTTAAATAAAATATTAACAAGACTTTTTTTATTTTTTTGAACATTTAATTGAATTAAATTTTATACATCAGAGCAATTAAAAATGAAGAAAATTGAAGTATTATTTTTATTTTATTTAATGTTAATACCGCAGCAATTTTACGCTCGAAAAATTTAGTCTAAAAATGGATTTTTCTTTTTTTATAAAGTTATTTTTCAGGTTTTTTCGCTTAAGGTAGTTTTATTTAAAATCTGCGATATGTAAGCAGGATTGCGCTCAAAGTTCTCAACCGATATTTATACAATTTTGTGAGCTTATTCTATGAATCAATACCGAGATCAAGTTTGAAGATGAGCAAAATCGGTCAATTAGTTTCAAAGTTGTGGGTGATTTTTTTTTTATTTATTTTGAGACTCAAAAAAATTTAGAAAAAATCATCAATAAAGGCTTTATCTTTAATTGAAGCTCTAACTTATGGACTTTTTGATTTTTTACAAGCTTTAAAGTTGAAAATTTAAATAATATTAAATATTCTAGATTTTTTAAATAAATCTACACAAAAAAAAAAAAATAATATCTTGAATCTCCTAAATAATTTTGAAGAACTTGATCTTGATTTTAGAAAAATTTTTTTTACGAAGCGCTATTTAATAATAAATTAAATAAAAGAATTTGATAAAAATATAAGTTATAAAATAAATTGTAAATTTTTCAGGTGACAAAATGGCGGCAATTCTACGCCGTAAAACGTCGTCCGGGGGAGAACGGACATTAGGAGAGTTGATACTGGCGTTGATAATAGCCAGTACCCTTTTAGTGCGATAAGCATTTTCATCAAAAATTTGTCCATTATTATCACTAAATAATTGAGTTGTCATATTGTCATATATATAGAACGAAAAAATAATTTAAATTGAATGTCAAAAACTAATTATAATTAATATAATAAAATTGTTTTGTTTCTCCCGTAACTTTTGCGGGGGTTTAGTTATTAAATTAAAGATAAAAATTATCATTACAATATTAATTATTAATTATAAATATAAACTAAATACAGAGTCCTATGTTAAATACTAACGAAATTCAATATTAATGACGTTAAAAAAAGTACTCTAACGCGTAAAGAATAATTGTAAATATTTATATCTATTAAAAGAAATTAAGTTCACTTTTGTACTTTATTTTTTTATTATTTCAATATAAAGGACCGCGAGTTAATATTTTATCGAAAGTATTTATTAAAATTAAAAAAATTAAAAAGCTTAATTGTAATTGATTGAAATAAGAAAAATAATTTATTGTAATTAAATTTCAGATCAATATAAATTGATGTATTGATTAAATGACCTGTAATAATATTAAAATGTATTATTAGACTTTAATTATATTTAAATTTACTCAATTTATTTAATCTCGCGTCCTTTATATTTAATTTTATTATTGTTATAAGATTTAATTATATTTAATTACACGCTCATCGAATTATGGATTAATTAAAAAAAAAAAAAAAAAAAAAAAAT